CGGGCTGGCATGGCGGCTGGCGAGGGAGCACTTCCTATGAGCTCTCTGCTCAGCTCCCTCGCGCGCCGCAGAGTGAGCCTGGGAGCCGGAAGATGACGTCATCTTCCGGCTCCCAGCCTCACTCTGCAGCCGGCGCGCGAGGGAGCTGAGCAGTCAGCTCATAGGAAGTGCTCCCTCGCCAGCCAGCCGCCCGCCTGCCAGCGCCGCCCGCCCGCCCTGCAGCCACTGGACCACCGGACCACCAGGGAGAGAGACCCCCCCCCAGCACTCCCAAAGGTAAGGAGGTTGGGGGGGGGTTTAAATAAAAAAAAAGTTAATGACTGTGTGTGTGTCTGACTGTGTGTGTGTGTGTGTGTGTGTTTGTGCCTGACTGTGTGTGTGTGTCTTTGTGTCTGACTGTGTTTGTGTGTCTGACTGTGTTTGTGTGTGTGACTGTGTGTGTGTTTGTGTCTGACTGTGTTTGTGTCTGTGTATGTGTCTGACTGTGTGTGTGTGTGTGTTTGTGTCTGTCTGTGTGTGTGTGTGTTGTGTCTGACTGTGTGTGTGTGTGTTTGTGGCGTGTGTGTGTGTCTGACTGTGTATGTGTGTGTGTGTGTCTGACTGTGTATGTGTGTGTGTTTGTGTCTGACTGTGTATGTGTGTGTGTGTTTGTGTCTGTGTGTGTGTCTGACTGTGTGTGTGTGTGTGTTTGTGTCTGACTGTGTTTGTGTGTTTGTGAGTGTGTGTGTGTGTGTGTGTGACTGTGTATGTGTGTGTGTGTGTGTCTGACTGTGTTTGTGTCTGTGTCTGTGTCTGACTGTGTGTGTGTGTGTCTGACTGTGTGTGTGTGTATGTGTCTGACTGTGTGTGTGTATGTGTCTGACTGTGTGTGTGTTTGTGTCTGACTGTGTCTGTGTGTGTATTTAGAAGGTGGGGCGGGGGGAAGGGTTGGGTGGAGGTGGCGAGGGGGAGGGGGGCACCTGAGTTTTGTCCTGCCTAAGGCAGCACAAAACCAGGATACACCACTGGGTATAAGTAGTGGTAATGAAATAGGTTGCTAGAAAAGTATTCACTGAGAACTTAGTAGGTTATTTTTAACAGTTGCCGGAGAAGAGTCATGAGGGGGGGGGGGATGATGAAAACCCACTAACAGTTTATATGATATGCTTTCCTGAAGAAGTGTGTTTTCAAAGATTTTTTGAAGGAGTGGAGTGGTGAAAGTCTAACGGAGAAGGGAAGGGAGTTCCACAGAAAAGGTGCATCCCTGGAGAAGTCTTGGAGGAGAGCATCAGATGTGGGAGTACGGGCAGAGGATAAACGTAGGTCTTTGGCAGAGTGCAGGGGCCTCGATGGGACATACTTGTGCATTAGGGAGGATAGGTAGGTTGGAGCAGTATTATACAGGTAGAAAACGGATCAGCGCTGCGTGATGTGGTCAAATAGGAAGCAGCAACCTATAAATATGAGGTTCCCTCTAGAGTCCTCAAGGGAGAAATGGCAAAAACAAGAATAATAGGTTGCGCTACAAAAAAAGCAAATAGACGGAAATAAGTATATAAAAACACTTTAACACATAAATAAAGAGAAATATATAAAAAAGAGAGATATATAAAAATAGTAGTCCAAATATTTGGTATTGGTGTTGTAAGTTCAAATGAATAAATAGTAGTTGTAGTACTTAATATATTTCTCTTACAAGTTCCAGTAAGTATATGGTGGTAGTGTGTCCAATAAGGAACTGGATCTTGTAATCTTTAGAGGAGTCTTGGCTCGATGGTAGACATAGAAAAAAGAAAGACAACAGAAACGATCCAATAGTGTAGACTGTCTGTTAATAGGAAGAATAATACGTAGGTAATACACTCACCTATATTAGAGCATAAACTCGCTCTAGTATGTTGGGCATTCAGTGGCGTTTGTCCCCCACTGGTAGGATATAGGTGAAGATGATCCCTCGGTTTTAGAAAGGAGATAAAAACAAAATATAGTGCTCACTGGATATGAGTAAAATAAAATAAAAGAGAGGAATAAAAATACTCACATTCGGATGAGCAGAGTAAACTGCTCAATATAATCGCATAGGTGGTACAATCCCCACCTAGGATTCTTGGTCTTGTGTAGGCTCCAAGATGGTATATGACCAGGTAACAGGAAATTAATAAAAGTGAAATAAAAAAGGTATATGGAAAAATTATAAAAAAGCCACTATTCCTTTATTAGTACAGTATAAGATATATAAAATAGCCAAAACGCGTTTCGCCACACAGGGCTTTATCAACTGGCAATAGTAAAAGTCAGCCTGGTACATAGATACTTATATAACCTAAGATAAAACATGCTTATTCAAATTTTGGCGCCAAAATGACGTCATCAATGCAACATATAAAATACAGAATCATTCAAAATCATTCAAAACATTAAAATAAAAAATACATCATGTTAATAAGACAATATATAAAATAATCCATAGTAGATAGTAATAAAACGAGTGTATATTTATGGTCATATACCATCTTGGAGCCTACACAAGACCAAGAATCCTAGGTGGGGATTGTACCACCTATGCGATTATATTGAGCAGTTTACTCTGCTCATCCGAATGTGAGTATTTTTATTCCTCTCTTTTATTTTATTTTACTCATATCCAGTGAGCACTATATTTTGTTTTTATCTCCTTTCTAAAACCGAGGGATCATCTTCACCTATATCCTACCAGTGGGGGACAAACGCCACTGAATGCCCAACATACTAGAGCGAGTTTATGCTCTAATATAGGTGAGTGTATTACCTACGTATTATTCTTCCTATTAACAGACAGTCTACACTATTGGATCATTTCTGTTGTCTTTCTTTTTTCCATGTCTACCATCGAGCCAAGACTCCTCTAAAGATTAGAAGATCCAGTTCCTTATTGGAGCAGTATTATGTAGGGACTTGTAAGTAAGCACCAGAATCTTAAATTGAGCCCTATATCTAACTGGAAGCCAATGGTAGGGACTAAAAGAGGGGGGAGTCGTGGGAGGTGCAGGCAGACAGGAAAACGATCCTTGCTGCTGCATTTATTATAGATTGCAGCAGTGCAATCTGGGAGCAATCTAGGCCACTGAGAAGGGGCTTGCAATAGTCAAGGCAAGAAAGAACAACGGCATGGGCCAGCATGCGTCTGGTGTTAAATAGGGGCGGATGCAAGCTATGTTTTTGAGATGTAAGGGGCAAGATTTGGCGATCGACTGTACATGAGGGGTGAAGGAGAGGTCGGAGTCAAAGAGAACACCTAGGCAGCAAATTTGCGAGGTAGAGGTGATGGTGGCGCCGTTGACCTGAAGGGAGACACTTGATGGAGGAAACACCAGAAGGACTGTTTTGGACAGGTTGAGTTTAAGGAAGTGAGCAGCCATCCAGTTAAAAATCGCAGAGAGGCAGTCAGAGACACGAGTCAAGATGGGTGGAGAGAGATCAGGAGAGGACAGGTAGATTTGTGTGTCATCTGCATATAAATGATAATGGTGGCCAATGGAGCTAATGAGATTACCAAGGGAAGCAGTATAGATAGAGAACAGTATGCAGCCTAAGGCAGCAAGAAAGTGACAGAATTAGCTGAGAAACAAGTAGAACAATCTGATTAGTAAAATGGCATATTCTTTACAAAAGGGTTAGTCACAAATGGGGCAAATGCCCTTTGTGTTGGGCTTCAATGAGCTTCGACCTCATAAACCAGCAAAATACATTTATAACAGTAGAGAGATAAAGTATAATTTATACAGTATATGCAAACAAATCTCAAATCTTTATCTATTTATGAAAGCCACAAAATTGAATTAGATACAGCACTATCTAAAAAGGTGGCAGCAGACCTGCTAGAAGGATACTCTAACAATCCAAGAGCATATAGCACATAAACGAGAAGAGAGGCAGGTTGCGCCAAAACAACTATATACTTATAATACTTATAGATTGTAAAATTTTTGATACTTAATAAATGAATAATGAATCATTTCAAATTCACAAAAGATAGTTCTTGTTGAATGGTGAATCCACCATTTTAAGTGATGATGGATCACTTGAAAAAGCCATTTGGGAAAAAACGCGTTGTGATTTTAAAGACTTCCAAGTGTTTTATCTTTTGATTGTTTGGAAATATTTTAATTTTTAATTTTTAATTACATTTAATGTTACCATACAATTTATTCTCATATTTTTTTTATTTTTTTTTGGTCTTGCTTTCTATTTTATTTTATTTTATTTTATTCTATGGTATATTGGTTTTAGCCTTTATCATCCTACCTCAATTAAGAATACCTACTGCCACTACTGCATCATATTTACTCACACATCTCAGGTGGGGATTTTACCACTCAAGCTGTTACCAACGAGCATATAAATGCTCCCCTAAATGTGAGTACATTTTATTTTTACTTATTGAGTGTATTTCACTTTTCAAATAGAGAGCACTATTTGTCTTATCTTTCCATTTTATATATCCATCGCAAAATATGGAGGAATACCCCATTCCAGCTATATCTGTGAGCGGGGATCATACCGCTCCAAGCCTTTACTAAGAGCTGAATTGGAAGCTCCTTATTTATGAGTGTATTTTATCCCGCCTTTATACATACATCAAGATTATTTAAACCGAATTGCACTATTGGGTAATATTTTCTTTTGTATTTCATATATGATGCGCATGGTTTAAAAACCCCAAAAGAAATATCGAGGTTCCAATATAGATCCTGTTTGAGCCCATCTACAATCCCCTACAACAAGATACTATATTGCTTTAAGCAAATACATTTTGAGCCAGCAGACACCCACTTGTTCAACGATTCACAATTCAACAAGAACTATCTTTTGGGAATTTAAAATGATTAATTTATAAAGTATAAAAAAAATTGTATAATCTATAAGTATTATAAGTAGTGATGTCCCGAACTGTTCGCCGAACGGTTCGCGAACGGTTCGCCACGAACGGTACGCCACGGACTCATCATTGAGTAAATTTTGACCCTGTACCTCACAGTCAGCAGACACATTCCAGCCAATCAGCAGCAGACCCTCCCTCCCAGACCCTCCCAACTCCTGGACAGCATCCATTGTGAAGCTGCATTCTTAGTGAGCTGGGAGGTGGGAGGATCTGGGAGGGAGGGTCTGCTGCTGATTGGCTGGAATGTGTCTGCTGACTGTGAGGTACAGGGGCAAAGTTTACTCAATGATGAGTCTGTGGCGAACCGTTCGTGGCGAACCGTTCGCGAACTGTTCAGCGAACAGTTCGGGACATCACTAATTATAAGTATATGGTTGTTTTGGTGCAACCTGCCTCTCTCCTGATTTACCTTAACTATTTATGCCTGGGAATTGGCTCTACAGCCAATGCATACTGGTTTACATGCTAAAGGACCTCTTTAGTTGCAAGTCTTCTTCACATTCTAGTCCCTAAACATCAGTATTGGATCTCCTGTTTACTCAATATATGCATATCCCCACAGCTCTGCATTCAGTTAATGTCTGAAGACTTACCAGTTTGATTCAGGACTGTAAAAGCGTGGCTTGATATGATGGCATTATTCCATGGATGGTCCTAGACATGTGCAATTCGTTTCGGGCCGAATATGTATTCGGATGAATTTCAGGAAATTTGGACATTTGGGTACTTCCGAATGTCCGAATAGCCGAATTGTCGAATTACCGAGGTCCTGAAGTTCAGAAATTACCGAAGTGCAGAAGTTCCGAAGTGCCGAAGTGCCGAATTGCCGAAGCACAGTATTGCCTAATTATTACTATTATTATTATTATTATAATATTTATAGAGCGCCGTCAAATTCCGCAGCACTTTACAATGGTTGGACGATCAGACATGTAGTTGTAACCAGACAAGTTGGACACACAGGAACAGAGGGGTTGACGGCCCTGCTCAATGAGCGTACATGCTAGAGGGAGTGGGGTCAAATTACACAAAAAGGTAAGGATAGTAGTAGACTAGTGACAGTTGCAGAAGAGGAATCAGTCAGGAGCTATTAACAGTTTAATTGATACGCTTTTATGAAGAAGTGGGTTTTTAACGAAGGAGTGGAGACTGGGTGAGCATCTAACGGAGGAGGGAAGCGAGTTCCACAGGAACGGTGCAGCCCTCGAGAAATCTTGAAGGCAAGCATCATAGGTGGGAGTACAGACAGAAGATAGACGTAAGTCTTCAGCAGATCGTAAGGGCCTAGACGGGACATACTTGTGTATAAGGGAGGATAGATAGGTGGGAGCAGCAATATGTAGAGATTTGAAAGCAAGAACAAGAATTTACATTGAGCTCTATATTTTATAGGAAGCCAATGTAGGGACTGACAGAAGGGTGAGGCATGGGAGGTGCGGGCGGACAGGAAGATGAGCCTCGCCACCGCATTCATTATGGACTGTAACGGCGCTAGTTGGGAGCACGTAAGACCACTGAGAAGCGGATTACAGTAGTTAAGGCGAGAAAGGACAGTGGAATGGACCAACACCTTAGTCGCATCTGGCGTTAAGTAGGGGCGGATGCGCGCAATGTTTTTGAGATGGAAATGACAGGATTTGGCGATAGATTGAACATGAGGCTTGAAGGAGAGGTCGGAGTAAAAGAGAACACCTAGGCAGCGAGCCTGCGTGGTGGAGCTGATGGTAGCAACGTTGACTTGGAGGGAGACAGACACAAGAGTAACAACACTTGAGGGAGGAAAGACCAGAATTTCAGTTTTGGTCAAGTTTAGTTTAAGGAAGTGGGCAGCCATCTAGTTAGAAACAGCAGAGAGGCAGTCAGAGACACTAGTCAAGAGGGACGGAGAGAGATCAGGAGAGGACAGATGGATTTACGTGTCATCTGCATAGAAATGATATTGGAAGCCAAAGGAGCTAATGAGTTTACCAAGGGAGGCAGTATAGATGGAGAACAGTAGGGGGCCAAGGACTGAACCTTGGGGGACACCAACAGAGAGGAGTTGGGGAGAAGAAGCAGAGCCAGAGAAAGAAACACCGAAAGAGCGCTGGGAGAGGTAGGAGGAGCACCAGGAGAGAGCAATATCTTGTAGACCGATATTGCGGAGGATGAGAAGAAGCTGTTGATGATCAACAGTGTCAAAAGCCGCAGACAGGTCAAGGAGAATTAGGATAGAGTAGTGACCACGAGATTTTGCAGCGAGAAGATCATTGGATACTTTGGTCAGTGCCGTTTCCACAGAGTGCTAAGCGCGGAAACCAGACTGAAGCGGGTCTAGCAGAGAGTTGGACTCGAGGAAGTCTGTCAATCTCGCCTAAGTACTTATATACTTACCCAGTGGAAGAAGAAGAATGTTACACTGTATACAATTTTAAATAAAAAGTATACAAACGTAGCCAGGATTCAGCAGTAAGCATTTGCAACACTTACAACAATCAAGTAACACACATTCATATAAAATGTAAGTTACTTGGCCAGTCAATGTAATGACAGGAATGAATAAGTAGATAACTCCCTAATTCCCACGGTTTTAGGGAGCTATCTACTATGGTCTTTCAGAAAAATTCACTAATACTAAGTAAAGATTACTTAGTATTAGTAAATTATGCCCCTACTCGATATACCGCGATATACCGCGATATACCACGAGTAGGGGCATGTTTATTAAATAGTGAGCAGCCTGTGGCTTCTCACTGTAAAAAACAAAACAAACAAAAAACGCGTCCCCCCTCCCCCTCCTAACCTGAAGGAGGGACCTATTGCCACCCCACTTCTCAGGGGTGGGGGTGAGGGAGGAGGACATTAGGTCCTCCCCCCTCATCCTAATTTAGGGCCCCCACCCACCGCTCAGGGTGGGGGCCAGGGGGGCCCTTTTTAAAAAAAAAAATTTGACAGCCACAGGCTGCTCACTGTTTACTAGACATGCCCCTACTCACGATATAGCGAGTAGGGGCATAATTTACTAATCCTAAGTAATCTTTACTTAGTATTAGTAAATTTGGCTGAAAGACCAATTAAGGTCTTTCAGCCTTTTAGTAGATAGCTCCCTAATACCGTGGGAATTAGGGAGTTATCTACCAAACGGCTACAAGAGAAGTTCCGAAATTCCAAAGTTCCGAAGTGTCGAAGTTGCCAAAGTTCCTGAAGTGTCGAAGTGTCGAAGTGCTGAAGTTACTGAAATTCCGAAGTGTCAAAGTTCCGCGGTGCCGAAGTTCCGAAGTGCCGAATTGCCAAAGTCCCGAATTTCGGAATGCCGAACCGAAAATATTTCCCATGCACATGCCTAGTTGGTCCGTTAAATAATAAGTAGTTAAGGCACAACCTTTTCTAGAAGCTTTTGTAAAAGGGATAATGCACGGTTTTCAGTTTGAGTAAGCATAGCTTGGTGTCTTCCATAATTCTTCCATGAGCCATGGGATTTAATTCTAATAAAATAAGAACTAGTTTATTAATATCTAAAGCAAACAGGAAAAATGAGCAGAAAGAGTACTAGCTGGTTGTTAAGTCCAGAGAAAGTAGATGAAGTTCAGTAGCATCATTCCGGTCAGTTCAATTAGGTCAAAATCCAGATGTATTTTTGTTCTATCTATCTCTTTTCCCACCAGAGATTTGTTGGTTTCTTCTTGAATTTGTAGGGCTCATTACTAAGTCAGTATAGCCTATTACATTTTCCAATCCAGATTTAGCATTCCAGTGCGCTAAAATAGGATGTAGATAATACGGCATGTTTAAATTCATGTTTATATTCATGTTTTTTTATTTTTTATTTTAACAGTCATATTTTAGTTTTTGTATTGCTTATGCTAAAATATCTAAATATATATAACACTTGCTTTTTACTGATTTGTGAGCTGCAAACATATATGTCAGTCTTTGAAGGTAGGAAATGTCTTTCCCAGATCTCAATAATCACAGTTGTGTTACATGCTGAAAAGAGCATTTCAGAGATTAAGGGTGAACTTTTAAGAGATTAAGTAGATTTGTGGTCTTAAACCCAACCAGCAGTACTTAACATTTAAGAGAGTCATTAAGCTCTGTTTTTATTTAGGGGGATGATAAATATCACAGGTCTAGAAAAATTCATAAGGCAATTAAACAACCCTGAATATCTTGAAAATATTACATAGATTTGAAAAAAAAAACAAAAAAAAAAACCTCTCTCGCAGCTTGAGTACAAATGGTTAGATTGTATCAGCCACAAAATTGTATGGTGCAACTAAGAAGAATAAGAGTGCAAAGTGCATTCCGCCATACATAATGTATCTCATTTCTGAATAAAGTGGTTTGATCCTTTAAGTACAAAAATAAATCTGAAATCATCGGTCTACGGTTTCACTCTCCAGTTGCATGTTCTCACTGTGGGGTTATTACACGATCTACCTATTTTTTTAGGGTAAAGAATGTTTTTGAATCCTGTTCTGCATTGATGGTGGCATCACCCATGCAATTATTTCTTACTCCCTTCAGTAAATGGGGAACAGCATGGCATTAACCTCCATGCAATGAGCTGTGCTCTGTCTTCGAGACATACATGTGCTCCACGTGTGAACATACAATGTACTTTCAATGGCCTTTGAAGCTAGTGTAACGTTGTGAGTGTGCTACAATGAGTCTAATAATGTACGCATGTTCAGGTGAGTGTTACTCTACTGCAATATTTAAATACATCATTTTATATTTATATATTATTTTGGATAAAAGTGTTGCACTCATATATCTAGATGTAGATATGCATGATATATATGTACTTGTAAATGTGTGGGGTGTAATGTGCTTGTTTATTTTATCTCCCTCTTGGAGGAGCGCAAGAGCAAATAGTAGGATATCGACTTGAAATACTGATTCCTTCTACCATGTTTTCTGTGCATACACTGCTCAAAGTAGACCAACATTAAAACTCCACAAAACCCACTGGACAAATCCCTCTCTACCCACAGAATTGCTAAATATACCTAAAGGGGGCATGCCTTGAAAAATAAACTTTACTGTTTTACATGGTATTGACCAGTTTGAGTCCTCTACCATCAAATAGAAAGAATGGTGTTCAGAGCCTCAACGAGTACCCCTCTCTAACTTTCTCCACTTGTGGGAAGTGGTGGGGGCAGGAGGGCAATAAAGCCTTGAGGGTGCTTCTCCTCTCTATCTAGACTGGTCCCTATACACTAAGGACAAAAGGTTCCCAGGGGTAATCTGGTTGGTGATATAAACACAAAA